CATAGTCAATACATATCTTTCGGTTTTCACGAAATTTGGCATAGCGTACTGAATTTAGTCCAGAATGATGTGTGCAAAGTTTCGTGAAAATCGGTTGAGATTTAGATATAGCTCCCTTTTATTATAGATTGATTTTAAGTAATTGACGCACCAAGGAACCAATAGGCTGATAGGAACAAAACGTACTGAAATTAGTATATCCTAACCCGTGACAAGTTTCGTTGAAATAGATTCATATTTGGATATAGATTCCATATATATTTTCGCCCGATGTTAAGTAAATTGGGCAGCAAACACCTCATGTTTGTCAGATTGACATGCAATTTTGAACAATTTCCAAAATTGGGCATAGAATAACGTAGTTGCGTTTTCTAGAAGTACAGACATAGCCCAACGGATGTCCTAATGCTTTGTTTGAAGTCGATTTATATAATTTTGTCCCATTGTAACAAACGAATGACTTGTTTACGGATTGATCTAAGGCGATTCACATTTAGATAAGTATCACATATTTTAGTTCGTCCAAGTTCATGTTAATAGTCCTGTTTTATATACCCATAGTGGTGAAGGGTATCATATAGTCGGCCCCGTCCGACTTTACTACTTTCCTTACTGGTTTTATAAATATTTTTTCTTATAAGAGCAATTTTCTTAGAGACCTTAAATGGTGTGCTCATTGACCTGAGTTTTCTTTTTCTAGAGGAAAAACAAGAGTCTTCTGGGGTTTGCCTTTTTCCCACTGGAATTGAGGTCTTGAGTGACTTTAGGCATCTGTTGTTGCTTCTCATTTCGTATTTGAGTATTCTTTTGAATCCATCGGAGTTGAGCTATAGGAGGTACAAACTGCAGATGAGTTCTTTTTAAAATGCCTGACTTGACTTTCACTTAGGACTGTCTGTCCGATCCACATGAAGAATGTAGAAAATTGCTATTGCAGGACATAGAAAAGGGAATGTTTATACCCTACACAACTATGATGTCAGGGTATTATAGCTTCGTGCAGCTCCAAGAGTTTGTAACGCCGGGAAATATCAGTATGCTTAAAGGTGTATAAGCATACTGATCGACTAGCTGAGTCGATCTAGACATGTGTGTTCGTCCGTCCGGCTGTTCATTATAATTTATAAATACGATATAGGCCACAGTTATGGATAAATCTTCACGAATCTTGCATGTAGGATAGTTTCTGACCAATGAAGACCCTTATTGTTTTGGGTAAAGATCGGTTAATATTTAGGTGATGAAAAACTTTATTTTTGTCTGATTTCCACGGTCGCTCCAGAGGCAGCAATTATGGTAAACATCGCAAATTTTTAAATAGGAAGGGAGAGGGGATCGGGCCAAAGAATAAGCATGCATGTTTTGATAAATATCGGTCAATATTTAGCGGGTCAAATGGACCCTAACTTTTGTGTGAAAAATTACAAAATTTGTATTCTATAGCGTATATATTTACCCCTGAAGGACATGGAGCCGAAAGTTGATAGTATATCCAAAAGGAATGGTTGACCTTTAAATTGATACCAATTTTATAGTCGTATGTAGTCGGATGTCGAATTTACACTTAAATATAACCCCTTACCCCACTAGATGGCGGACATATAGCGCTGATCGCTTTGAAAATTGTCATGAAGTTCCAGTTATGGCATATAATTTTCGGTGATGATCAGGCAATAATTGTGGAATGAAAACTTTATTTTTTTCGAGTCATCTATAGGCCCCAAGTATAAGCTGGACAACACAAGCCACGGTGAAGGGTGACAAGAAATTAGAAGGACTGTACTGAATATTGGAAATATTTGGAAAATATGTCAGTGTAAGGAAGAGGCGCTGTTGATCTCTAATCGGGCAAAAGGGTGCAAATAAACATCCACAGAAAGTTACAGTTCCGTGGTAGATGTATAGGGTATTGTATGGTCGGCACCGTCCAACTATACTGCTCCGCTCAATAATATGTCCGTGAGGACTTAGGAGTAGATTAATGAAAAATTCTGGGGGACTTATGTGTAGATTTTTTATTAAAATGATCGGTAGGACTTGGGAGTAGATTTAAATCTAGGGAACTTCAGGGTAGATTTTTTAATAATTTTTTTTTAAGTCTTAAGGATAGATTTGTTACTAAAATTTACTTGAGCGTAGGTGTTTTTACTTCTTCGTCAACGCATTACTTGAGGTATTTTTTCCACAAAAAGTTTTTTCATGGACTTTTAGAGGCGTGGATTTAGGATTTATTTTTCAAGAACTTTTATCGTCGATAATTTAGTTTTGGGACTACTATGTAACGACTTCTAGGCGTCGACTATTTTTCAATTGCTTCTAGAAACATATACATTTATGATTATTTTTGTCTCTATAAAGAAGTCGCATTAGGGTTCTAAGCAATCTTATATGCAACTGTTGCCCTAGGAACCTGATAACTTTATTGGATACTAGGACATCGCTTCAAAACATTTTTTTGAGGAAAAATTTTTTTTGAGGAAAAATTTTTTATAAAAAACAAACAAACTGGGATTAAGCCTAACTATTTTGCAAAAACAAAATACAAATGGTATCCCAAATAACCCGCCAAACACTACTGAAGTTGTAGACGAGGCACGGTCATACTGTTTGGTTTATTGCTTTAACTAGCAATACCAACAACAACGTTATGTGCATTCGTCACAAAGTGACGACACATAGCAGTGGGAAATGTATTGTAGTTGTCTGTAAATGCCTTGTTGACCACGAAGTCAGGCGCCAACGAAACGAACTTCTCATTGGGGTCGTATCGCTGGTAACGTAAGAACTTCGAATTGTCACAAGAGACATTTGGGTTTGAAAGGTTTTTTGTAAAGAAGCTATTAATAGCTTCTGGGGAGAATATCCCAACAAAAAACTAAGGGAACTGATGAGGATCAGTGGCGAGATCCGAAACTATAGTCTTCCCTGCCTTACCCCTCGGCGGACAATGCCATACATTCCCCACTAATAAATAGTTGTTTTTTATAAAAACAAACAAAATGGGATTAAGCCTGACTATTTTGCAAAAACAAAAAGAAAAATTCACCTTAAAGTTCTTGTTTTATTATATATGTTGCCTAAGGAACCCCAGTAATTTTTCTATGAAAAAATCGGTTTAGGGACCTCAGGACCTCTTCTTTGTACATGAAAAATCGCTTCAGAAGTTTTTTTAGAAAAAATTACCTTCAAGCACATTCTTAATAAATATGTTGCCAAAGGAACTGAGTAAATTTTCTTTTAAAAAATTCCGTTCATGGTCCTCAGTTTTATTTTTTACATATGAAAAATGTGTCATCTGTGATTTTCGACATTTTTTATGATAAAAAAATTACAAAAAATCCTAGTTCAATTTATCAATAGAAAAACAAATCCTTAAAGTCATGGAAGATTTTTGGACCTTTTTTTAAGGTAAAAGCCTATAAATCATGAGCGTAGTTTTAAAAATTCTAGAGGTTTTCACTTAAGGGGACCCCCCCATTCTCGGGGGGGTCAAGAATGTCTCCACAAAATTTCAAGTGAAAATCTCAAAAACTCTTCAAGAAATAGCCGATTTATTGTGTCAGCATCAAGTGACGGCTAAAGGGCTTCTCAAACTTTAAACGCGTTTTTCTCTTTTGCGAATGGCGGGCACGATAACTCAAAAACGAATAACCCAATCGATTCCAAATTTTTACACGTTTCTCTGTGAGTGTATAGCTATCGTATGAACTAGGATAAAGCCAATCGGTGAAGATCTTCCTTATTTTCCTAATTACCAACAACAAAACAAATGGTATCCCAAATAAACCGCCAACACTACTGAAATTTCCTTGACTATATGAGTGGCTCAATGTGAACATTTTATAATTTCCTAGAGATCTTCCGTATCGATTATTTAATGTAATTTTCTAGAGATACTGAGATTTTTTATAAAATGTTTACAAGTCGACGTTTTTTTATATTTCTATGCGTCTAGATCTTATGAGGGACTTGAGGACTTTTTAATAATATTTCCTAAGAGACTTTAGGACTTTTTTAATACAATTTATTGAGAACTTTTAGAGAAAATTCATAGAAGACATCATATTTTATAAAATATACTCGATTTTTTTGTAGGGTAGACTTTTTCAATAATATTATCTATAGGACTTCAGAGTTAATTTTTTTACAATCTTGATCTGCGATAATGAATTTTATCCTTCGAGAATCCCAAATTATAGAGATTGATTGCATGAAGACCCTTCAAATACCCCGGGATAGAGATTGATTGCATGAAGATCCTTCAAATACCCCGGGATCGGTGAACTATGTCAAATATGAATCCATATTGAAATTTTCCTGCTAAGAGATTATAAACCCTTTGATAAGCCGAAATGCTACAAATATCGATGTCTTCATTGATTAAGAATAAGGATGTATCGGAATTTATTTTTATATTCTCCCATCATTAGGGAAAAGTAATTAAAGGGTTTGATGCTCAAGTCACGGACTTCAAAATTCAAGATCGAACTCTAAATATCTTCTGAATAGTTTTAATTGATTTTTAAGTACATGGTGGTGTAGGATAAAAATGTAATGTAAAATCAAGTTTACTGGCTTTAAAAATCCTTACTTGTACATACAATGAATATATGTATTTGTTTATAAATTTATTTATTTTTTTAAATTATATATCTATTTTTTCCTATATGCATGATATACCCTTTTACCCTACCTCTATGTAAATATATCTACGTTTTTCTATCTGGAATGCTTGATCTATAACTTTGTATACATATATCCAACATTAAAGCATGTTTGTTAAATTCTTTCCAAAATAAAACCCTAATCTATTTCCTTTCTATTGTTTCGTGTTTGAAAAAAAACTGCTTCAAATGCTTGCTTCAAAACTAAATGCTTCACTTTTTTTTGGAAACTCTCTTTGTAAAATTTAGAAACAATTTAGAAAAAAATAGTAATTAATTAATATACAAAATTATAACCCAAATTTTTTCTGTTTATTTTATTATTTCTGTATTTAGGTCCCATTGGTGCCAGTATTGTTGCCATGAGTCCTCGCACCATGCTTGATCTAAATCCCGCTTTGGCCATGGTCAAACCGACCTTTGAATCCCGTGGACCACCCATTACATCGAAAGACTTTAAGGATACGGATAAGAATACAACGGATGCATCAAAGAAAAACTTTTTATAGAATTATTAAAAAAATCAACAAACAACAACAACTACAAAATTGCAAAAAACAAACAGCAAATGCATACCAAAAAAATGGAACAAACGAAAATAAAATCAGCTAAGTTCAAAATTCAAAAAAAAGGTTAAACAAAACAATTTTAAATTCAATACAACCACCAAAAAAACAAATTAACAAAACTCTTAAAACAAACATACATAAAATTACCAACAACAACAAAAAACTGAATCTGTCTTTATCCGCATTAATGTTTACATAACCGTATCTATTTAATATTCGTATCAAAATCTAAAAAATGAAAAATCCAAAACCACAACATAACTAAAAAAACCAATTGCATTATAAAACAAGACAAATTAGAAAACCAAATCCAAAATCAAAACATTTTACTTTATTCTCGCTCTCTAACTACTTTTCAAACTCAAAAACCCCAAAAACAACATGAAACAATTCCCTTAGCCTAAATACCAAACTTATTATTTTTTTTTTTTGAATACTTGACATCGTTTTCAATACTTAAAATCTATATTTGTACAAAGCGAAGTATTAATTATTTCTAAATAAATTAAGGAAATTCACTAAATATAAATGTAACTCAAATTCTTGTGGAGAAGAATTTTTGTACTTCGAAAATCTAGAGTTCATGCCGGAACGGACTATTTAAAAAAATTAGTGCGCAAAAGTAACGATCCTTTTGATACTTTCAACGATTTAAATAACAGGAACTTAGTGAATGATGTAGTTTCTTTTGCGGAGCGAATACAAAAAGATCGAAACACTTCGGGAACGAGATTGCACCACTCTACAGAAATCTAGCTGCGTCTTATTTCCCCTTTTCTTCCTGCTCGTCATCATTTCCAACATTATTTTTTGTTTAATTTTATTTCAGAACTGAACAAGACCCAGTTTTAATCCTATTTCGAATATTTCGAAATACTACTAACATTTAGTACATCTCTTTTAATTAATTGTCCAGATTCCCTCCACCGTGGGTTGTGTTGTGATGGTCGGCTTTCAATTGTGGCATATAGATCGACACGAAAAAACACAAAAATTGAGTTTTCGGTCCACTTCATCCCAAAATTATTATGTGATCTTCATTGAAAATTATAGGCGTTGTCCTCGACCAAACCTGGATCCTCATAATGGGTTACCAAATAATATATGAATACGTAAGCACCTGTACATATTTTAGTATAACTCCCACATCCGGGTACATACGACAATGTAATTCGTATCAATCGTACTACCATCATCTCGGGGTTCTATGTCCTTCAGGAGTAAATATATATGCTATAGAATACAAAGTTTGTCATTTGTCACACAAAAGTCAGGGTCCATTTGACCCGCTAAATTTTGACCGATCTTTATTCTTATTCTTTGGCCCGATCCCCTTCTCCACGTAAAAATCGAGATGTTTGGGCTATTATTGCGGTCTCTGTAGCGACTAGAAAATTTGACAAAAATAAGGCCCATTTCATCCCCTTAATTTTAACCGATCTTTCTTGGCCAATACTCATCCTCGTGAAGATTAGTCCATAACTGTGGCCTGTATTGTATTTACAAATTATAATGGACAGACGTACGGACACAAATGACGGTATACTTAAAGTTGGGTCTAGGAACAATATTTTGCGGCGTTACAAACTCTTAGGGCTGCATAAAGCTATAATATCCTGACAACATAGTTGTGTATGGTATAAAAATTGGCACACTATGTTAACAGAATCTTTTTCTAAACGAAGTCTTCGTTACTCTTAAAACGAAGCCCGCAAAGAAGACTGTGAATATGTTGTGCTTTCAATCCCTCTTTTTACAAGCAATCGAAATCTACTTGGAAAGTATTTTTTCTCCTCCTCTGTACCTGGAACCCAACCTTTTTATATTCTGATACACTAGCCAATCTCTATTTATGAGGATAACATCAAGCAATTCCTCTTCAACAGGTGTTCATGGGAAACAGATGCTCTTTTATCCTTTTCGGAGTTTTTTCTCCTGTTAGTTCTCTTGAGAGCACAAGGCATCCACAAAGTATCGCCATCTTGTGTTAGTTTCGTTAATTTTTATTTTTTTTATTTCAGCTAAGTAGATGTCGGATCTGCTGTAGTCTGCCCTTGGCGAAGAAGCTGACATCTATCGATTCTTAGAAACAACGTCTCCTGGGTTGGGTTACTTGATTATTTAGTGCTGTCATTTTCCTCCGATTGACGCATTTCCTATTTTATGTTATTATCATGTGGTAATGTTGACGACGAGGTTGGCTATTAGAATTTTAGGGGGCTTCGGATGCACATTATCTAGATTGGGATCTAAGATTATTATAAAAAATATTCCAAAAAACATTTTTAAATAATTTTTCCTCCTTGATTTTTCTTCTAGGTGGTGCTATTCCCATTTTGTGTTATCCTCATGAATTGCTGCCGATGTTGCTTATTAGAATGTCAGGGTCACGTTGAACGCATTTTATCGAATTCCAATCTATAAGAAATGTTCGTCTCCACTGAGATTCAAACCCCGGGGTCCCATCGGTTTGTAGTCAGACACACTTTCCAATGCACTCGCCATCTCACATTTATGTGGATAACCCTAAACCTATGCCCTCCACCAATTGACTGGGGCGTGATTCCAGTGTCATTCTTCTTGTTAGCGTTTATTTTCTTGACATCTTGACTTATGCAAAGCATCGCCATAGGTCTGCTGTAGCCTGTCCTAGGTGTTAGAGATGCCATCTATCGCTGAATAGAAACAACAACTCCTTCAATTTTTTGCAATGTTTGGGGTTCTTGTGCAGTGCTTAAATGATTGGTCTGCTGTAGCCTGTCCTAGATGGTGAGACTGCCATCTATCGTTGCTTAAAAATAAAACATTCTTTAAATTTGTGCAATGGTTTGAGTATCTACTTCGATAATTGTACGACGACGCTGAACACATTGAAAGCCTCTGTCCGTTCAGACTTACCATGGAAGGAAGGCTTGCAAAAAACGTACCAAAAACCGATTTCCGTACTTTCTACCCCGCCCCCAGATGGCGGCTTCGATGTTCGTTGATGCTTAGATCTTAATCATCAGATATATTCTTTGATAAAAAATATTATTGCCTACATTAAGCTCTTTCTTTATTGTCGATTTGTACTTAATATAGGTCGTTAGTGTAGAATTTACTATCTACTTTTACGTAAGATGGCGGCTTCAATGTCCGTAGACGAATAAATCTTAATCATTAGATATTTCTCTTTGGTTAAAAAAAAAATTATTGACTATATGGAGCTCATTCTTCTGCTTGTTGGATGCCCTTTCATTGTTCGTCTACTTAACAGAGGTCGTTAGTGTAGAATTTACTTCTTATTTTTGCGCAAGATGGTGTTTCCTTTGACTACTTTCATGCTCCTCTTTCGTATTGCCTGGATGTTCATATTGGAATTGTTTGTTTCTGATTTTTTGCGATCATCATACTCAATTTTCCTCCTTGGGCCTCATTCTTTCTTACTCTCACCTTATTCCATATTGAATTTCTCTCCATTCATTCGGTATATGAAGAAGGCTATGTCTGATCCAGTTAAGCCTATGCTTCTCACGATCTCCGGATGGCGACGTGAGTAATTTTTGAACTGATCAAGGGTACACTCCTATACTTGAATATTTTGGACCTGTATTGGAACTTTTTTTTTAAATTTTCTCTGTGTTTTGGCCCACTGGTCTATATTCACTGATCTTCAATGCTCTAGTTCTCATGTGAAGGCCCTACTGATTTTAGATATTTCGCGTGGGCACCTAATGGTTTAGGGTATCGTATAAAATATCATAAAAAGGCATCGATTAAATTGAAATCTTTGTGTGTCTCGAACCAATCATGAAGATGCCAAATCATCTATGCTAATGTTCTGTTTCTCTATTAATAATACCACTTGGTGACATATTTTCAAGCAATTTTTAAATTGTACAACAAATCTTCTCTCTCCCTCCCTTCATACCGATTTCCGTAATCACTTTCATTTCACAATTATAAAAAAAAAATAAATTATATGGAAATTAAAATAAAAAACAATATCCTTTACATATCAAGCAAAATTAATATTTTAAACTGAGTTAGTTTTTTTACAAGGAATAAAAAAATTAAATAAAAGCATCTAATTTTTGTATTAAATTAATTATTTTAATATTTAGGCTCTGGGTTGTAAAGCAAACAAAAAATAAAAAAACATAACATGGCATTACTATAAAATTTATGATAAAACAAAATTAATTAAAAAAACAACATATTATATTGTTTTCCAAATAACAATAAAAAACCAAGAACAACAACAATTTTTCATTTATTTTATAAAAAATTTAAAACATAAATAAAATATATTTAATAAAAAGAAATTAAAAAAAAAATAAAATTATAATAAAGAAACAAAAAAAGTAAACCTCAGGAAATTAACAAAATGCATTCATTTTATTTAAAAATAATAATAGAAGAAAATATATAAAAAAAATTAAAAATAAAAAATAAATTAATTAAAATATAAACAAATATTTGAGCAGCTTGAGAAAAAAATTATTAATTAATTTTGTGTTAAAAAAAAAAAAACAATGATACAGTGTATCACAAAAATATTTGTATATAAAAAAATAATAACAGAAAATGGATTTCCTTCACCCTCCCCTTCTTGATTTTGAAATAATGTCCCATGGGAAAATATTTTCTGTTTTGTTGTTTTTTCTATGCAAATATTTTTGGAATTTTTTTTTTGTAACTAAAGGATTTATGATTTGAAGGATTTTTTTTTAAATTGAAAAACTAAATGGAACCAAGTAATTGATTAGGAAATGGATAGATTCATAAAAAACTTTTCCAAAACAACAATTTTCAAAACAAACAAAAACAACAACATTCTCTAAACATCTCTGTGCATATTTTCTCTATAAGTTTTCAAGGAATATGAATAAGAAAAATAAAATTGAAAAAAAAGAAAATCAAATACAAAATTGAAAAATTCTAGAAAAAAAATCACAAAAAAAAAAATTCTTTTGCTTAGAAAAAATG